ATAACTTGAAGACAAACACGTTTTTGAGAAGTGTGTCCAGTATGAAGGGTGTGCATGGCCATTTCAGACAGGTGGTCTCGCCTCTTAACTGCCAGTTTATGTTTGTAGATGCGTGTGGAGGCAAATCTTTCCAGTTGGCCGCAATATACGGCATCGCACGGGGCCTTGTAACCAATTTCCTTTTTATCGGAATAAAAATGAGCATGAGACAAATATCCTTTAAGTAAAGCGATAAGCTAATCCAGATACTTCGTGCTGTCTGACGTTTTACTTTTCAAAAAACCCTAGCTGACGCAATCTCAAGTTCTTTCTTTTTCGCAATACAGTTCCCTTGGTCTGGTGAGCACTTTATTTATCTCAACAGGGATATGTTATTTTCGGGGTTATTTGTATCTTATGGTTTTGGCGTATCCCTAATTAGAAAGAAGCTTCAGCCTAGAAAATGGTGATTGGCCTATTATTTAGAGAACCTTATATCCTGCTATGTCAAGGCGGCGTTTAATTAGGCCGAGCTAATTTCCCACGGGACATCGCATCTGCATGAATTCTGTTTAGACGGACGGAAATATGCTATGTCAGGGAATAGGAGTCATTTCCCATGATACAGGTGGCCTTGCGTACAATTCCGGGAGGTGTGCTTACTCCTGTGTCTTATTTCTGTCTCCGGACTTTAAACCAAAGCTCAACCATTTTAATCCACCATAGTCTACCTCTAATCCTTAATATAATTTAAACCCTAATCGTACTGAAAGGTAGCACAAGGCCACTCGAATCACGGGTGAGGGGTTCTTGTTCCCGTGTTCAACTGAAACGGCTTCTAAGTAAAAAGGATATGTTGTTCAATGTACATTCCTTTCGGATCATTTGGGAATCCCCCGCCACCATCCACCGCAACGTATTGCCGAGCCAGTAATAGCATTAGGTTAGTAAACTGCGGCCAGCGGACAGTAAGCACTCAGAATGCTCTAATACAGTAGATGTGCTATCGCATGAAATGTCAATCGAAGTCCTGAGGTGGGGTTTTGATCCGAAAAGATTACCTAAGTAGGGCTGTTAAGTTAATTAGCATGTCGTGCAATGTCTAGGTACTGCAGTCGCGACAGGATTCCGGTTTTTACATGTGCTTCTTATTGACGGCTTGCACAAATTACTTTCCGCAAAGAATGACCGCTTCATTAGTATAAGATTTTTCATTAATCTTTGACGTCCATTAAAGATTTAAATGCAGTATATGAAAGACGCACCAAATACTATTTTTTCCTCTACTCACGTGGTAGTAAATCGCGTCATCTTTAAATATTGTTCTTGAAAAAGAGTATTTGCCGGTTTAAAAGTTTCTGATTACGAGAGTCATCAAGACTATGAAATGTCCAGTCATACAACATCCTATCAGTGCATTTGTAAATGCTGTTTATAAAGCGGACAGCGTGGTCTACATCCACCTAGGAGATTCTATAACCCCCTATGCTGCAACTTCTCAGCAGCAAAACAAATATGTGATTTCCCTTACACAGAAATCATATATGGCTTGTAGTTTTAAAATCCTAGATGCAAGTCGAACGACTAGTCAGCCTCAGACTTGTTCGGAAACTAACGAAGTTTCCTACAAACGAATGGCACTCTTTTTCAAATGCAAACTTTGAGAGAGACGTGATTTTCTACCAAATGAATAGAAGAAAGAATATTTTGTTCAAGTTTTCTCTATAGTGCATTCGAATGTATGATAATGTTTAAACTCGATGCGAAAATTTCTTACTAAATGAGTAGTCGTTTTTGCAAAATGTGGTTTGTGCAAGGAGTAGACGAGGAGCTCGTTTGAAAGCCAGCATCCTGGTGTGGGCAAAATATCCCAGGAATGTGCTGCAGGATGATCCATATTACAACCCCAATTTGGTAATCTTCTTTGAATAGAAGACACGTTCCAGAACTGCAGTTAACATTTCATGAGATAACACGTCTACTGTGCGTGAGAGTGTCTGGACATCGGAAGTCATTAGTTAGGCAGTCCTTGAAAAAACTCTTTATTACCAGTCCCATCATCTTGTAAAGCACCATCTCTATTTTCTCCGACGATTCGTCTGCAGTAGTGTCCGCAACCCGTTTCATTGGGAAAGGATGCTGTGTAAGAACGGACCAGGCTAAGTCCAGCGCTCAGGTTCGCACCAAAAACAAAGTGTTACGCACTTAATCGACCAAGTCAAATTGAAAAATTACCGATTTTGAGTACAGGACAATCGCGCTGGGTACTTAGTCTGTATGCCCATAGACTACCTATCGATGGACACCCAATGCACGTCTACTGTATGAAAGCATGTAGGGAAATATCTAAGTAGCTCCTGAAAACGCAATCAAGTTTACCAATTGCGTCATCTCGTAAAGCTTCATCGCTGTTTTGCCCGATGACGCAACTTCAGTAGTATCAGTGATCCGCTAGACTGGCCTAAATTCTGCGTTCAACTTTCCACTACAAACAACGTGTTACGCATCTACGTGATCAGGACAAGGTGTAGAGTTACGGACTCACGGTACAAGACAATAGTGTTGGGTATTTAGTCAAAGTACACATGGATTACCTCTCGACGGATACCGAAGGCACTTTATCAAGCCAAGAAGTAGCAAGGCAGACGGACAATGGCATGTTGGGCAGTGATCAAAGTCTGCTGGACCACTCCCTACATTCTACCAGACTCGGAGACAGTCCGCTTGCTTGGGTCAAGGCAACTCAAAGGATGGGAAGATCCACGCCTAAGGCGCGATTTGCAGCGGCCGGCTACATAGGGGCGCAAACTGGCCTTCCTGCGGATTGCACAGTCCAGTTTCATAACTTGTACAAGACGGTTATCGTGAAGTGGAGAAAGGGAATTCGGACTTGGGAAAGGCTGATTGAGACTGCCTTTGTGAATAATCCACCTTTTGCAAAATCACATTTCTCGGAGTGGCTGCGCCCGAGGGCTCTGTATTCTGCGACAAACAGCAACAAGTCAAGAGTGTCCCGTGTACTGGCCAAATTTTCGAAGGATATTGAATGATATTCAGTGTAGCAATCGTACCTACATTACGTGGACTAACTCCTGAAATCTCAACCGAAATTTGGCAAAGCATTTTCGTTTCGAAAAGATTAATTAGGTAGGGTTGTTAAAAATTGTCAGTCTGCAACACAATTCTATAATAATTCTGTTACCTCAAGATGTCGGCTTTCGAATGAATTTCTTCCCGGCTGCATGCGGAAAGTATACTTTGTAAAAAACGAATACGTATGTAGCATGAATTTTTCTCATTGATTTGTTATGCCCTTAAAAGCCCAATTATATTCCATAGAAAACATGCATGAAAATATTCATTCTTTTGCTCATTCTGTAGGAAATTACGTCTTCTTCCAATTCTATACTCAAATAAGGGGAATAATTCGGTTTTAAAAAAGTTTACGATTGTGAGATTTTTTAATACCGTGAAATGGGCGTTCATGAAACGTCATGCCTTTGCATTTACCAATGAGGTGTATAAATTTAACAATGCGGCTCAAATCCACCGCTACATTTTATTAACTCCTATAGCCTCCTTTTAATGCCGTAAATATTTGTATTCTTTTTCGTACGCGGAACGTATACGGTCTGTAGTATGTAAAACCTGAATACAGGTGTAACGGCATGTCGGGCTCAAAATTATTCGGAAATTAGAAAACTTTTTAAAAACCGAATTATACCCTTCCTTTGGGTATAAAATTGGAAACTGGAGTAATTTACTACAGAATGAGCAAAAGAATTAATATTTTCATGCATGTGTTCTATGGAATATAATTGGATTTTCAAGAGCATCGAAAACAATGAGAAAAATCCATGCTACTTAAGTAGTCGTTTTTACAGTATTATGCTTGATAAAGATCAGTCCTACTTAATTAATTTTTTCGAAACGAAAATGCATTTCCAAATTTCGGTTGACTTTTCATGAGTAAGCCCACCTATGGCATGTTATACTATCAAATCCAATTCACGTTTCAGAAGCTTGCTGTTAACATGGCATGTGATGGGCCAGACATGTTTCAGTAGAAAAAAAACATCCACCAATTATTCGTTAAATAATATTCTCGGCAGTCGAAGTATTTTATTTATTTGCATTGTTAGCACATTCTCAAAGTGGTTGGCAAAGTGCTTCTGTGATTGCGTTAATTTTAAGGACAGTGTATACTTACAAAGCTCTCATTTCTTTCGACATCCGCCCTCTAAAATACACTAAATTGATATGAGCAAATGAGTAATCACTACAAAGCAACCTATAATTCCCGCACGGCATCATGTTGGTTCTTGTGAGCCACGGGCTAGACATTCTGGTTTGCAATTTACCATCCAGCTTCTTTTGATATACAAATCGGTGACACTTTACACAAATGATGCACGACGTATCTATGCGGCATGCTCACGGTTAGTAATTAAGATACTCTTCCAATTCTATAACTGACCAATAAAGGTACTCAGGCTTTAAGAGCGGGTTACCGTGAATAGTATTCAAACGCTGCCATGATGATTAGTATAGACCAGCTATTAAGTCTTATCGGCAATGCATTGAAAGGTAGAGCGTAGCCAGCGTGAGCGAAAATCGCTTAATACGACAGCAATGGTTTTGGCAAGCACAAGAAAAAAAATCGCGTTCAGTCGCCTGCGTACCATCTTCCCCCTTGACTTTTCCTGCAGACTCGTTTTGACAGACAGGTTTCTACTGAGAGAACATAAACACACTGCTTGAAGCGGCATGGTCTGCTGTGTTCTTGCAACGGTCGCTGGAAGAAGCATATACCGCCAACGCAGTCCCCTGTCTGTTGTATAGTGCAAACCCCTGCCCCTCCACACATCGAAACAGTTAAGCTTGATCGGTTGAGCCAAGAGTGTGTTTTCGCCATTGCCGGCACCACAGTCAGACTCCCCGAAAGGTGGGAATGACAGACGTAGGTGGCTGTATTTAAACTATAAAGGGAGTTGAGGGGGAACTGCAGTCTTCAAGAAAATATGCGATCAGCAGTCTTGCCACTGATTTCGCTGCTGCTGTTTTTGTCCAGATCGTCCTGCCTGGGTGAGATCTCGTTGTCAATTAAGTAATTTGCTTTATTCTGTGAGCTCAGTACATTACTAACCGCTGCTATTGATGATTCTCGTGCGTTTTCTGTTAGTGACTTCTGTTTGGTGGGGAAACACGCGGTAACCAGCTGGGTATGGTCCAGGGATTCCCCATTGGCTGCGAAATTGCATGTTCAGTCTCGTTATCTTCGGTAGGATGTAGCCTTTCAGCCAACTGTGGGCTCAACTGCAGAAAATCAGCCGGCTTAGATTGTCGGCAGTGTGGTATTCCTCTAATCGCTACTCGACGTTGTTTGCGATATGAAGCAAAGAATCTAATAAAAGACTTGGGTCTGCGCTCGAGCAGAAATGTTACCTCAGTATGTAAGATTAATTTTACCAAGACAGCCTGTGGCCTTTTCGGCAAACATGTTGCTTGCCATCCTCGTGCGCCTTTCAGGGGGATTGCAACGCGCGTTTGATCTGTTGTGTTCATTCAACCTTTTCCACCGGAAGAAGTTTGCATTTAAATATGGTTGTTCAATAATTGTTGAAGGAAGACCATTGCTTTTTCATATCACCCGGCTATTTAAACTTCTTACCGCATGAGGCATGAAGGTAAATTTATTTTGTCCTTCCCATGTGTGTTAACGTCTGCATTCCTTATCCAGTTTGACCTTGTAAGTTTGACAAGCCACCTTCACTGAGCATAAATCATAGACATTTTCAAACAGCTGAGAGGCGTTTTTAATGTTTGCACTATTTTGTTATGCGCCATCATCAATTACTGAAACAAACAAATCCCATTCTAGTTTGGTACCTGACTCTAGTCACAGAAATCAGCCCTATGAAAATTTCCCACAACCACTAGAATAACCAGCTTATTATGCGGACTTCCGTTTCTGCATGGCTATACGTCAGTGTTGTAGAGGGGCGATCACTGGTCGGGATACGAGGCGTTCTTGTTCCGTTTGATCTTGGAGCCCAATAGGCAGTCACATGACGATTCGTGGCATGTGTAGGCAAAGGGAAGGGGATTACGGACAAAAGGCAAGAAGATGGGGATGGCCAGTTGTGGCTTTTTAGGCGTCGTCCGTCAGCCATACAGACTTGGGTTCCGAACCCGTGTTCGCGGATTAATAAACGTTAAGGGATCGGATTATCTACCAGTTACCCGTAGGTCGGGTGAACTGTCAGTTGCGGTCGGGAATTTTTGCCCGGGTGATGGGTTTCTTATGTCACAACTTACGAGCCTGTCTGGCATCCTAATTATTAAGTAGGTATTTCTGGATTTTGTAACCTCACAGTTAGTTTTAATGAGACTTACACCCCAAGATCACAATGCTTAGAATTCTAAAAAGGTTGCAGGCCCAAAGCCCATCTGCAAGTCATGGCCATTTATTTTGGTTCCGTTAGGCTTTTGAGCAAAAGCCTCCTGTCCGACCCTGCATAACTGAATCTGTCGTCCGACCCAGCTCTCAACTATCTTGCTGTTTTGTGATTGCACGCACCACATGCCGCATGATCAACTTCGACTAAACGCATGCCACGACAGTCCATGTAGGCATTTCCGAAAGGTTGTCATTTGAATACATCCAGTTGTTCGCATATCGGCCCTGTGCCTCGCCGATCAACCTACAGACTGGGTAGTTGGAAATTCGACAGGCTAGCCTTGGATTTACCTCGCTGTCTGATAGTCTGATGGTCCACAAAGTCAACCAGTGTGTCATCTAATCAATTAGGAGATTCACAGGCATTACCGCATCTTTTGACAGTAAACCTAACTTACTTATGATTAGGGTGTATAAACTTGAAATACGGCCAAAGCATGTTTGTAATACCAAATAAGTAAATGGTGGCTTGTAAGGAAGTTATGTCACCACATATCTACAGGGGCTACTGCTACTGATAGGATGCTGGAGCATTGTTGAAAGGATCGGGGACACGGTAGGAAATGTGTAATGTTGATGCATACATGAATTCATAACACTGCTGTCTTACTGCTAGTATAAAACGCTTTTAAATATTCCAGATATATGAGCTATTGGATAGTATAGAGTATGGCCATCAACTGACTGCCCATGTACTCCAAACCATTACTCCTTTTTTCCCAAACTAGTATGGCATCTGGTTCAGTGCACTTTTACTAAATATACCTACAGATGCAGACACACCTGCTTCGGCTCGCGTGACGCGCGTGACAGAAACCTCCCTCTCCTTTGAATGGACTGAACCACCCTCCGAGGGACTGCAAAACGTCTTGTTGAAGGCGACTACCGTTACCGGCACTGGAACCTCCGTGGAGAGCCGCGTTTCCGCAGACCTCAGACAGGGTCAGGTGCAGAATCTTGAACCCTACACATACTACAGCACGTCCGTAACCTACGTCTACGAAGACAGTAACAAGAACAAAATCATCGACACAGGCCACGTGCGAACCTGGCCAGCTGGTAATCTCTTTCATACAACATAACTGCAATATTTTTTACCAGTTTCAACTTGTGAAGGCATCAGTCATGCATAAGTGAGTCCTAGCAAAGTCCCGCACATCCCATAAAAAATGCGTCAAGAGATGCAAAGTACTCATTGATGGTTACTGTGGTGAGTGCAGTGGATTCTCATCAAGGCCTTCTGCCAGTGAATCGGCACACACACACACAGTCCTAAAAGGTTAGGTACAGTTATCGTAAAGTCTCCCAACCAGTAGTCTACGCTGATATAGTTGGGTTTGCCACCTGGCTTACGTAGATAATGTGATAAAGGACTACCAGGATGCCTTTTTTTCTCAACCTCTACAGCTCCCTCTCCGCCGACTATCACAACAGTTGTCAGCACGGGGCCCAGGTCGATCAAGGTGTCCTGGACGCCACCGCAGAAGACCAATGGAATTCTGGAGGAGTATTTGGCAGCTTGCTACCAACTGGGGGATCATATTCCGGGGTCCAGTCGGCGAGTGAATGCCCAAACGCTCACTGCCGAGATGTCATACCTAATACCAAATCACCCCTACGAGTGTGCAGTGATCGCCTCTACGAAAGAATTCAGATGGGGTCAAGGCGGTGGAAAGACGTCCTCCGCAAGATCCTCCGTCGTGCGAACTTGGCCGGGCAGTGAGTTCTTTCCTACAGCTCACGTTTCGTTTTGTTCACTCATACAGAACGTGGTATGGCTTATGCAAGAATTTGATATTAGCTTATTTGATCTCATATTCCCAGAAGGGAGTCGTTTAGATAAGAATCATCGCCCATTTCTCCTAGCTTCCAGGTTTGCGACAAGTTTGTTTTCTTGAAAAGCGGAATTTGTCTACATTGCATAGTATCGGTTCTGATTCCTGCATTGTGGAGTTGCCGCTGCACCGTTCGGGTGTCTATTGCATTAATGAAGACCGTCATCGCCTACGCACGAAGACCGCATAGTAGGTGATTATTCTATTAAAACATGTGTGGACCATCATACGTGGGCTTTCTCGTGGAAACAGATGCTGCAACGACGTTGCAGTTATAGTCGCGACCGCTTTTTGACCTTCGTTCGATCAGATTTCAGAATCTAGTGTGGTTGACACTCAAGTTTGACGATGTTCTGCACAAAAATGGACATTGTAGTTTTAGCAAATTCTCTGAGTATGCTACTTACTGAACGTACGCTTTGCACCATCGTCTTCGTTCCGGAGACCAACAAGATGGGGAATCATCCACTTGGGCTTCTTCCTCAATAAGTACTCACACATCTGCTTGTTTCGCATTAATCTAGCTGCCTTCTAGTTTTGAACTAATTAATTCAATTCTACTTACAACTCTGCTGCTAGAAGAAATGTGTGCATCAACCCATCATGTCAGAAGGTAGGGTATTCTGGCTTGTAGCTGTTCGGTCATCTGGTTTGCAACTACGTACAAAGGTATTCGTGTTTTCTAGTTATCATCTGCACTTCTAGATTGGTTTCTCATCCGGCACTGTTCCAGGGCACGCAGCATTTGACCAATTAGCCTGCCGGACGCAGATTGCCTGCGCCTGATTTCGACCTCATTTCTTGGGCCGTTTTGTACTTATATTAACTTCAGAGAAGTGTTCACTTCAAAACACCTGAAAGCACAGTCGCATGGAAGCAGTCGTGTTGTTCTAAGACATTATTTGAAATATCCATATCTAGACAAAATCAGTCGATGGGGGAACATGAGGATTAGAAGGAAGGAGAAAGGAAAACTTTACATTCTTTCGCATTTAGAGCGCCTTGCGTTCGAAACATGCTCCTCCTTTCATGCGCCATGAAGGACAACATTTTTTCCTATCCCAGCTACTGAACAGCCAATCTACAAGTATGCTACTGCTCGTGGTCCTCGGTCGGTGTATATCGAGTGGTGGAAGCCAAACACCATAGACGGAGTTCTTGGTCACTACAGTGTCACCATGGCTCCTAAAGACGACCCGGCTTCAGCAAAAGACATCAAAACCAACAGTGACACTCCCAGACTATTGGTTACCCAACTGCAACCAAATACCAAGTACAAGTTCACGATACGAGCCTTTGTTCTACCTAATGAAGAAGGTAATGGAGGTGGATACAGTATTCCATCGGCGACCGGATATGTGACAACATTGGCCGATGGTATGTGCTACCTGAAATGATGGAAAGGTCTGTTTCCTCTACTTAAAAGCCTAACGACAATGCGTGTCCGCTTTCTCAATGTAGGTCCCAGTGCGCCAGAGGCCGGTTTTGACGCCTCTGTCGGGAAATGCGAGTGGGAATCACGCGCCGGTTGCAATGACGCCGATTCAGGGACGCTGACGTAAGAATGAATGACTCTTTATTGAATATCCATTTCCTTAAGAATGAGCAGAATTTTTATTGCATCAAAACACATCTCCAGTGTTCAATAATCTGTGGTGACCACGTGCAAGTGAGAATGCTGCATCCACATTGAACATTAAAATGTAAACAGTCGAGAGGATTTCAGAAATCTTCAATAACGAAAAGGGATTAGTTTTCAATGAGGGACGATGCGCAGCGTGATTGTGGCCGTCAGTATTCCCGGTGTGACGATTTCAATGTCGTGGCTGGACATCCGGGTCTTCCGCAGATTACTTGCGAGACGATCTCCTTCCTCGTTCACACTATCACATTTTAGAATTCCGATCTGCACTGATTTTCCCCTTTCATACTCCGAATTTTGTCCTAACAAGTTCCGCTACCACTACAAACAAATAAAGATTAGTGCGCAGTCAGGTGTTTCAGCCTGAAAATCTGTTTGTTTTGCAAAACCCAATGCCATTTTGAAATGCAAGAGGCATGTTGAGCGGAGGAAATGAAATGAGGATGCGTGAGTTCATTTACTGTAGTTTTGATAAATAACTTCCCACTTTTTTTGCTCAGACGCTGACTCTCTCCACCCCAAGGACGGAACACAACGCACTGCAGTAGGGTGCATCAACGGCCTCCAAACCATTCCACTTAGCCTTGTAGCAGGTTAAATCCTAAAATTACACATTAAATGGAGGGTACTGCATAAACGACTTCTTTCTTTCGGGTATTCCGAATGACACAGTACTCTTTTCTTTGCGCATTGACGGACACAAGTTAAGCAGTCTACTAGGCCCAAGAGCGTGGGTGGTTCCCAGACTTACTCAGACATTACCTGACTCAGTAATGCTTCATATAGAGACTACATTCGGTGCCTTCATTGATATCTGCCAGCCGGGAATATTTTGGCAAAATATCGCCAAGAATTGACTGACCAATTACAATCTCACATACAAACAAATCGCGGGTCAATAGCTCCCGCCTCCCCCACCAATTTAAGCTATAAAAATTCTTTGAAAAGAGAAGCAGGGTTTTGGTAAAAACTACCCCATAGACATGAGAATAACGAGTGCGCAGCCAAGAAACCCCAAAGTAGCACTCAGATAGCAGCCGCTAGGAAACTATTGAACCAGACCTCCAGCAAGGAGGCCTTGAAATCCATCGTTTTCTCAAAATGTTGCGTAAATGCCCTGCACTTATAAGATGTATTCGGAAATACCGACGTTCTTTCATAAGCGGTGGAAGGTAGCGAGTAAACAGTCAGCAGCTTTACGGCAAATACCTTTTGTGACGAAGACCAACATCGTGGAGACGATTATTGAGGGCCAAAAATACCTTCCCAGGCAGAAAGTGCGCAAAATGTATGTCCAAATTAAAGACGTTATCAAGATTAATTCACAAGCGCTGCACGCAAGAAGTTCTGTTTTCCACTGGAACCGCCCTTACTACCTACTTTGTCAGAGTCCTACTTGGTGAGCATCGATTACTTCAATGGGTATAAATGATGTTTCCTCAAATCTCTGTGCGAAATTAATTTGACCAAATGTTTGTTCGCGTGTCTGGCCTGGCTTTCAGCGAATCTACCGAGATGGATGCGCTCTTTTTACCCCCGACGGCGATCAAATCGAGCTTTTCCTTGCACGTGTCCACGCATGTACGAATTACGATCGCTGACTTCGAATTTCTGCCAGCATTCGACAATTTCACAACCACTGATTACGGCAGATAAGACAGAATGCAAGCGCGTACAAGTCTTCAAGAAGTTGGAGACATCGTGACGAATTCACTCACGCTTTCCATTGCTTACAAAATAGTTCCCGTGTCTACTTTAATCCGTCCGCTTTGGTAAAAGCATGCCAAAACTTGCGCCCATGAATGATGAGGGCGCCGCCAGCCATGTAATTATAGCGATTGAATTGGTGGCATGCGTTGTATGAGAGTCTTCATTCGGCAGTCATCATAAAACTAGATATTAAATTCCATCTACGTTCGGTTATCATGCTGGCATAGATTGAACGCCATTTCCGCCCTGCGCGAACTTGTTGAATTTCAATCTAAATAGTTGAAATGCACAATACTAGGAATATATGGATTTATAGTCGGTCCTGGGGAATACTCCTAACGCTGTATTATTACAAAGGCTGATGTATAAAATTTTCACAAACACCAGTGCTGATACAATTGTAGAGGCAGCCAGGAATCTGCCGAAAAAAGACGCGATCAATAATTTTCTTTGCCCGACGTTTCTAATTATGATTTAATCCATCATCAAAGGCGGATGGAAAGGAGTTCCTTACAAGGGAGATGTGTGTATTACAGGAATCTACATTTCCACCAATATCTGTAACTGAGGTTATATGTGCTGATTTATTTGAAGGGATTACGATTGTTCAGTTCAAAATACATTTCGAGGAAAAGACTGCGCTTTTATGAGTCGGCAATGTTTAAAATTAAACTGGCGGTTTTCTAGCTGAAACACTTTTTATAGACGACTTTCTGATTCCCATGGAATATCGCGAAATAAGGGAATCTACCGACATTAAATAGACAGTTGTTATAACTAGAGACGCCATTAGGCACAGGCTGAAAAAAAGACGCGAACGCTGGAACAATAGTTTTATCTACTTTACCGGTATGGATTATAGCGTGAATTCGACATCGGGGACGTTTAGTGCATCCTGACGGATATGAGCGCGTCGGATTGTTTATAGTGAAGCATACGCTCACTTTCCACTCCTTGGCACAAGTCCATTGGCCGAGAATGTCAGATGCTAGAGGCAGTAAGTGGGCGCGGCGGCCAACAGAGCTTGAGAACGTGTCTGCGTACCGCCGTGTGCACGACCTGGCCTCCCAAACACACTCAGCACGACTACACACAGGCGCGACGTCTCTTGGATCTCACATGTGTGAGAGAGCGTCATTGAGAAGGGGCATTTCAGTCTGAACAGCAGTCCATCAGTCAGCTACACAACGCGCACACACACGACCGTTCGACCGTTGTTGCCAACGATGTCCACCGTCTGCTTCGCCGCAAGGTGGGAGCAGGCACGGTGCCTTGTGCGTGATGTAGTTTACAAGGGTAGTGGACTTGCATGGCATCTACCGAACTCCTTTTTCCCTCCCCACCCCACTTGGGCACGGGGTCAATACATAGTCAAGAAGACCGGAGGTGCGAGAGGGCGCAGGCAGGCTTACGTGGACGAAGCCGCCACACGCGACTTGGCCCCTATGGATAAAGTGTGCCATAAACGCCACATTAAGATGGAGCAATTGCAGCCTGATTCTTAGACCACCAGTGGGCGTCTCCACACAAACACAGAACACTGTGCGAGCTAATTGTTTATGCCTCTGTTTAGTATGTCCGCCGTGTAACCAATCAGCAAGAGAAGTTGTTCATTGTCTCAGAGCTCACGTTAAGGTAGTAACAAACCTCGCATGGTGAAGGCAGATAATCAACCAGAAGTATTGTGCGGACAGGAGTGCAGCTAGACAAATCGAAGGCAGGTTGTCGCTGGTGCGTAGGTGCAAGCACTAGCGCGAGGCGCGGAGTTGCCATGACCACCTGGTGTAGCGCCACTGCAGGTCCAACGTCCGCACCTGGGATTGTCTTCGTCACCAGCACATCCTGCTAGTTTCGCCTTCGGACAAGAACATAGTCCAGTCCAGTAAGTGCCAGCTTATCAGCCTTTGGCACAGTTGCCAGGAGGGCGGGCAGGTTCTCGTAAAACGTTTTCATTGCAGCGTCTGGGCCGGTCATCGGAGGAGCGTGTATACTGACGATAGTGACGCATTTGCCTCCTGGGAGAGGCAGGCAGAGGCGCATCAGGCGATCGTTGATACCCTGCTGCAGACAAGGCAGTCGTTCCACAATTTCGTTCTAGGTGGCGAAGGCGACATCCGCGTCCCGTCGCTCTGTCCTGAGGCGACTGCTTCAGAAGAAGAGGTAGCTGGCACCCACCTCCTACGGTCGGCCTTTTTCGGAGAGCCGGGCTTCGCTGAGCTCGGCGATGTCCACCTTGTAGGGCGCCAGTTCCCGAGCCGCTAACGCTGTTCTTTGTTTCGGCACCTTACTCCTCTGATTATTTCTAAGGGAACTAGTATTCCAGGCCACCAGAGTCAGCGGACTCACCGTGCCAGCCCGTGAGGTGGGACGGTGGGCAGGAGGAGGTGTTTTTTCCTGTTTGACTGTTTCCACCGTGTGTTCGTCATCTGTGGGCCATAGTCAGCGCTCAGAGGACGTGATCCCAGCATTTGCTCAGGGCATCTATTTTAACCCCGTCCCCTCAGGGGGGTGACCAGTTCTGTTCCTATATAAGGCTGTTCAGGAATTCCAGACGGCGGTTGTCTCCACTATGGGCCATAACTTTTTTAGTAGAAGAACAATCCGATTTATCCCGGATTGCCTACATGGTCGCTGTAGCTCTCCCTGTACGGCCTTTTGAAGAGGGGAAGGGGGAGGATGAGCGAAGGGTAGAGAGGCGGGAAGCAGGGTTTCCACTCCTCTTTAAACTAACTAACGGCTAAAATGTAAACGGTGAGCCGATAAAATCCACAGAAGGGTATGTTGTCGCGTGGATAGTTATGTGCGATATACAGAAAATATTTGCTACATTAATTTAGTTTACTTGCCAGTCGTTTAAATTTGCAACAATTCTTATTTCAGCATGCGCAAATCCGCCTCCATCACCGTCACCAATAAATCGCTTGAAGAACCAATTCAAACGGGGAGACTAACAAAGATGATTGCACTGAAACACGACAGTCAATAGTGCTCGGAAATGAGCAAGCGTTCATCTATGCCGATTATCTTAAGTGCGTTCATTTATTCTCGAGGGACAGCAGAAATGAGTGAGTTGGAAAAATTTACTCCGGTCTGCTTAAGTTGTCAAAATGGACTCCGACTTGGCAGATGGATTTTATTCCCGCCTGTATGTAATTTGATGTTTCTGTCGAGTCTAGCTTCCTGGCCTCATAATCTTTCGAATCGGGCCTCTTTTAAAAGGTTTCACTATGAAGAACCTAGGTTTAAGCTACACGACTGGACTCACTTTATTGTCTCATATTAGCTGAATACCTACAAAGGCTGTACATATATTTGGTTTCATAGCCTGTATTTTTCATCCCTAAAATAAAGCCAAAACTTAACCATATGTTTGTCGCTCCCATAATCGAGTGTTGTTGTACCCTATTTGGCCGCAGCCAAGACGAAAATGTTCAGAAAGTTTTTGCACGAAAATTCTTTTTTTTTCTTTCTGCATAAGGCACCAGTTATACTGAGAGATTTCAGTTAGCAAACATTAAGCTAATGGCGTCTGGAAGACTCAACCTCAGCATGTGCTTCCTGTTTCGCACCAATTCTGGCCCTAATGTTCTATAAAGCAACGCATTCGCTCCAGTAAATCGGCCTTATGCCACGTGTAATTACTCCATGGTCATTTCCCCGCCACTATGCCCTATATGTAACCGTTTCCGTTTTTGTGTCAAGTGTATATTCATCCGTCATAATTTTTCCCTCGAATTGAGATCATCATCTAGATTGACGATGTTCCAATTGAAATTGTGTTAGTATTTACCCCTGGA